AGACAAGCTGAGAATAGAAATCTTGAATGAATAAACCAGGTGTATTGAATTGATGAAAAATTGGAGCAACTTACATGAACTAATTCCGGATAAAAACTTAATTTGAGTGTGATCACATGACTCCATAGAAATCACAAACTACCAGCTGTTCAAAAAACCATTCATTACCAATTTATCGCACAAAGCAGACGAGAATTCAGGAATAATCTATAGTAGAATCACGCAATCAGTGAAAAGCAACTTCACTACTCGATTCACTACACAACACCAGGTACTAGTTCTGTCAAAAACAAAGGCACGTCAATGCCATTCTGATGTTCGTTCCAGTTGCATAGACGAATTTATGTGCATCTGTCGTGGCAAAGCATTTGATAGCGTGGACAGGATGACAGTATGGAAGCTTCTTCGACATCACAACGTATCTGAGAAGATAGTCAACATCATACGGAATGCTATCGATGGACTAAACTGCATTGCGTTCTAAGACTATTGAGAGGCGTCCTGACTATAATTCTTCTGGTTTTTCTAACTAAAGACCATACCCTGCTATCGGTTTTTTATCGTTCGGTTAAGGAGTCGTCTCAAAGTCAAAATGCTTATTTCAGTACTCAACTCAGCTTACAGTAGATTTTAAAAACGAAGTCTTAATGGAGCTGATATAACGGATAACACTATTAAGAGGCTACATTGTTTGTGATTGTGGAGTTCAGATGACTGCCGAGGACTGTACAGACCACAACAATAACGTTGTATTTCCATGTAAAATATGCTAGAAAAGTAAATCTACAAGAATGGAGACCATTTCTGCTCAATCTCTATTGACATGAAGACAGACTATGCTGATTGTTGAAACTGGTCAATAAGAACACCAGTAACATTATCTGCCGCCTTTTGCAGATATTACTGAAGCTTCTGCACTTCAGCAGTATGACTACTGTAGAGATAATATGTACAATAAAGATGATGAGGTTGAACCAGTACTTTGCAGTAGTTGAAAGTAATGTAGAAATCAATGAGACACTTGTAAAATAACAAAATTCCATTAGAGGAAGATGCGTCATAACAAGACTGGATAAGGAGTAGCGCTTGAAGTCACCCACCAAGCAAGTTTTGGAAATGGACATTTTCATAAAGTTGGAAACCGACAGTTTATTCACTCTTATCGTTTAGTTTTGTAAGATAATTTGTGTCCATCCATATAAACTGCTCCGCCGTCTTTGTTCCCCTTTGAGAGGAAACAGTCGTGTGTTCGACATTTTTCACAACGATAACTGTAGTTTCTCAGAGTTCTTTGTAAGTTGAAAATGGTGATGTATCGGTGTTTGTTGAGTGTTCTTTTTTTATTACTTGTTATATGTACACCACATACATTGACAACTGATCGATTATTGGTGTAGTGAACAATGTCATGTTTGTCAAGTCCTTTTTCTTAATGCTGATCGAATTCTAATGATGAAGTTACTGTGATGTCTTTCACAGTGACGCTGAGCGACCTTTGATCAAATCGGCCATGGATCATCTGTTCCCTAAAAATAAAGGGTTCATCTTTTTGATGAGTCCCAAATGGCACGAAACCTAGGTCACGGATGGTTTCTTGTCAGTTACAGTCAGCCACCAGCTTACACCAAATACAGTAGATGAAAAGTAGCTGAAATCTCATTTAGTCTATCTGGTTAAAATCAGCAGCTAAGCACTGTTTATTTCTGCAACTGGCTAATTTAATCATCTGCTATATAGTTCCAACTTTAAAAATTCAATTTTTGCAATTCTGTTGTTTAAATAAATAATGCAGTAGAGATAAAATAATTCAATAGGAATCGGTGTAGCAAAATTTAAAAATGATTATCAATCTCTCTTTCAATGTTTAATTGCTACCTTTTCCGAGAAAACGCCATATTAAATTGTTTTGACCAATGTTCATGTCGGATATTTTTATATTATTTGATGACTAATAAGGATTACATAAATGCAAAATTATTTACTTCTACTCTGTGTAAATATTTCGATCGCATAGTGGTGTGCCAGTCGATACATGACAAGTCTAATTTTGATGCCTTTATATATGACATTAGATGTCTGTGGTTTAAATTCTACTGAAATCAAACTAAGAACTTTCAGGTCTTCCGATAAATACGCAACTATTGAACGATTGATCATATGTGAATCCAGTATTCCATAATTTTGTGAGTGCGAACAATGCAAACCATCTATCTACTTCATTGTTTTGTACATCGGATTAACCATTTTTAAAGTTATCCTCCCTAAGTTTGAATGAAAAGTTTTTATTGATGGAGACGATAGTTCATCTCATGACGTTCATGAGGAATCTTTATTTATTTTTTAGGTTTTCGTATTTAAACATATAAACATTGGTACAAAGGATCACCTAAATATTTATGAATGAATTTGTATGTGGGCTGGGATACTACTCGACTGCCCGAAATGGAACAGGTGGTTCTTTTACAGGTTCACTCTATGAGCCTTTGATCCATAGGTCTAATCCATAAGGCAGTGGAGCAACATCCGAAGATATAGTCACATAGTAGCCAGTGACGGATTACAGGTTCATACATCATTTTTTCGTTGAAAATCCTGTAGATCACGTGCACCAGTGCTTTGGAATGTGGATTTTCCAACTCCTGTAGGTGGATTTTCCGCTCCCATCCAGTCCGGTTAGAGCTCTGGACATTCGTTCTTCATTGTCTCATTTTCAAAAACAACACATGCGTCACGAGAAGACGATGAGTAGGACTTGTTTGCTGGTGGCTAGATACGCATAGCCATATGAGAGCATTTTAAGACTGAGGAGAGTGAACTTATCTCATTTTCTAGGATTGTATGTAGAATGATAAGCAACCTGTAAAGTCCTTACTAGTAGTCAATGGTTGTCTAATTAAAGTAAGATGATGATATAAACTATAATGTATGAAGAGTCAGTGTAAATTACTTGACATAATCAGCAGAAAGTAAAAGTGACTCCAATCATCAATAGCCCTGAGATTGCATTGTATTTACAGTGGCTACTATCTTGTTTTGGTATCTTGACCTCACTCAACCTTTATTCAATGCAAATTTCAATTCACTGATGAAGGAAACTATGAAAGTGCATTGTCTAACTTCAAGTAAGTTGAAAACATAACATACTAAAATGATCATGTATGTAGCTTAAACTTTAAGGAATTTTCAAGGTGCTCCGAAAAATCAATCAACAATCGGGATAGATTTTTATTCACATAGTTAGAGAGTATTATTATAGGAAAAGACAAAAATCAATTGATCTAATCAAATAATTTTTTTCAAATAAACATTTGATAACTTGAGTTTATTTATTGAACAGATTGTGATGTAAATCAATCCTTTATTATGATAGACTAAGTGAGTATGAACATATCACTAATTGAAGATCAAGCAGTAGGTAGGAAATAATAAACGGGAACGTCATAAGAGGGAGGCAGTTATGTATCTCTTCAATCCCATAGTCTATGCCTTCGTCTGAACCCAACAGGTAACTAGGTAGAACATAACAGTTTATCTTGCAAACAATGACATTCTAGAAAAATTAAATGTTTACTGATTTCGTTTAAATTAAAATAAAATAAAAACTAATGAATTATTCTCGTAATTTTTGTATATATTTCATCAGTTTCATGTCAACATTTTTATTGTGAGAGACAACAGATTTCTAAGCAGAAGAAGAGAAAAACATACAAGCATCTACTGTTAATCATTCTTCGTTTCTTTTCACAAACACAGACACCAAAAAAATTAATCAATAAATCTAAGTTTAAAATAATAATTTGTGCATTGTGCATTGTGTTATTGAGAAAAAAATAAAACTCAAACTAACAGAGGAAGAAACCCATTTCAGTCATCTTCAGCATCCACATCATAGTCATTCAGTTGTTGAATAGTGATCAACAATGTTGTATTGTTTGAATGGACTCTGGGTGTTGTTGTTTTATATGAATTTGAATTGGGCGAAATTCACGTACAACTGGAACAATCACATCTTGTGAATATGTAGCCCATGAACTAATAATTGGATAAACAAAACGTTCCCAATGTGCACTACATATGTAACTTATATCACAGAAACAATTAATAATAATATGAAATAGAAAACGTAAATATTGTAAAAATGGTCTGAATAAAGTCAACGTAACTATACGTAATAATTCAATACAGAATAGACAAATTGTACTGAATACAATACCTAATGCTAAGCATAATTCACGTAGACCACGATGAATTTTTTGATGAGCTCTAAAATTAAATTAAATAATTAAAAATACATAGATAAATTGTACATAAGGAAAAAAACACACATCATAAATCAATCATATTTTCTGAGAACATTGATGAAAAAGTTGATGAGTCAAATTGTAAAAATATTTACAATGTGATCGATGAAGTTCATTGCTAACGGATTAATGCAATTGATTTCTGTAAAAGCATGCATTAAGGTATGGTGAAATGAATAGATACTGAAAATTATTTTGTCAGTTAGACGTCACACTGCACTCATATAATATAAAATTCAGTCTATTTAAAACTGAAATTGAAGTCTAGAACATTTTTTCAAATACTTTTCAGGAAATTTATTCATTCAAGATTTACACCATTCAGTCAATTTATCTTAAAAATAAAAATCATCGCCAAATGTCACTTCATCGAAAAATAGTCGATCAGCATTAAAAAGACGGACTTGACAAACATGACATTGTTCACTACACCAATGATCGATCAATTGTCAATGTATACAGGTGTACATATTACAAGTAAAAAAAGAACACTCAACAAACACTGATACATCACCTTTTTTTAACTTACTTTTCAGATATTGGTTCCATTTTCGCTTCTGGTATTGGTAGGTATTGAATCTATCCAATAGTATCATAAAAACAAAACCATTAATAAAAATAATGTTGTTTTACCAAATAAGCAATCAATAACCTATTATACTAAATGATTTGGATTAAATCAGTACAGAATAACCAGTAGAATTCGAAATGAGAGGACAGATAAATTTTTATCACAACTAAAAGAGTTGACTTCAATTGATGATGTTACACATAGATTAGGTTTTTTAATTTCTCCTTGTTCAGTCTCTTTTGGTATATAGATGTTCATCCTAAAGGAATCGTTTCAATATAAATTGATGTCACACGTCTCGGTATATTTTAAATATGGATAGTATTGCGAATCGGAATGTAAATCTAACCTCATTTGGAACTCGTCTTCTCGATGTATCTGCATTATAGAGCTCGAAGAAAGTACATTTACATTCAAATTTCAGCACACTATGCACTCAACTACTGTGCTGCACATTCATTATACTCGTTAACATACTTAGTACATATTTCGGCTTGGTAGCTAGGTGGATAACTCTTTGTTTATTCGGAGAGAAGGTCAATGGGTTTGAGTCTCCGTGTAAATATCAATACACTAAAATACAGGCACATACATGTGATGAGTGCTAAATTCGCCGAAACATAATTGCTTAATTTCACTGCTGTTTACCGAGTACATTTAATTAAATAACTGCAAATAGTGAAATTTGAAGCTCAAGTTCCCTAGAGAGTCTCGTTGGTTCGTAGTGTATACATTTGTACAATGTATCGCAATCACAGTATTATGGCACGATTCCATGAAGCATTGACATGGACGTGGACCTTTTCACATCATATAATGAAATAGAGCAATTATATATCAACAGTCAAAAAGTGAGGAAGACTATGGGCAATATTCTGACAACGAATTAGGAATTGTATGTCGTATAATAGTAGTTTGTGATTTATCCACTCGCTTATGATAAGTGGAATATGTGGAGACAGTAGTCTAGTTACGAATATATACAGCAATAATAATAATAATCATAATAATAGAAGTCCATAAATTAGTTTTGTAGGTTATCATTCATTCAATCTTCATTCTGATATAACATAAACAAATCAGCTTTTCAAACCTTCAATTGGACACAAATTAGAGTTTCAAAATGATAAAAATTCTGAGAAACTACAGTTATCGTTGTGAAAAATGTCGAATTGTGAGTCAGTCGAAATTTAAACTGAAATTACTTACTAACACACGCATGTTTCCTCCCAATGGGGAACAAAGATGGCGGAGCAGTATATATGAATGGACACAAATTATCATAAAAAAAACCAAACAATCAGAGTGAATAAACTGTCACTTTTGAACTTTATGGAAATATCCTTTTCGAAAACTTGCTAGGTGGTCGACTGAAAGCGCTACTCCTCATCCAGTCGTCCTGTGACGTTTCTTCCTCTGATGGATTTTCGTTATTTGACAAGTGTCTCATTGATTTCTACATTACTTGCAACTACTCTAAACGACTGGTTCAACCTCATCATCTTTATTGTACATATTATCTCTACAGCAATCATATCATTCAACTACAGAAGCTTCAGTTATATCTGCAAAAGACTGCAGATAATGTTACTTGTGTTTCAACAATCAACATAGTCTGTCTTCATGTCAATAGAGATTGAGCAAAAAAGGTCTCGGTTCTTGTAGATTTACATTTCTTGCATATTTTACATCGAAATACAACGTTATTGTTGTGATCTGTACAGTCCTCAGCAGTCATCTGAACTTCACAATCACAAACAATGGAGCCTCTCAATAGTCTTATCTATCACATCAGCCCCATTAAGACGTCTTCTTTAAAATCCACTGTAAGATTATTTTACGTTTGTGTGCGTTGAGTACTCAAATAAGCATTGTGACTTTGGGATGGCTCCTCAGTCGATTTTGTCGCTAGTCATATCAAATAATTCAAAAAATAAAGGCTCATTAACCATGTTGAAACTATTGATCCACTGTAATATTATCATATTTTGATTGGCTCATGACTAAACACTACTTTCTGACCGATTAGTGATTTACTGAAGGTTATCGGAGAAATATTACAAGAGCAGAGTTATAACTGGATAACTATTAGTTTACAGATAAATGCTTTAAGCAATTAAGTATTTCACACTTTCCATTAACTAGTAAGTTAGTGTTATACTTTTGAATGTCATCATAAAACTGCTTTCATAATCAATATTGATCACAAACACATGACAATGATAAATATATTTTTGCTTTCAATTTTGACTCACTTGTGAAGTATTGACAAAACAATTCCAACTGGTATGTATATAATTCTTCTCTAAATGACCTTCTTTATATTGACATTCCATATCCATATGTTCAGATGTGATATGTGATCGACAATACGTTGGTGGTTCATATGGGATATGATTATTATTATCAGCTTTGAATAGTATAAACACAGTAGTGAAATGAGGTAACAATTAGAGTTAATTTATTAGTGTGAAAATTGTTTGGGTTCTTGTGTGCCTACTTAATTAATTATAAAGTAGTGAAAAGTTAAACTTCGCAGATGACCTGTCTCTTCTGTCGCACACGAAATAACGCATGCAAGAGAGGACGACCAGTATAGCAGCAGCCGCAGCAGTAGTGCGTGTCAACATACATAAAGGGAAAGGTAAGATTCTACGATACAACACAACATGCACCAACCAAATCACGCTTGATGGAGATGCCTTGGAGGACGTTGACACCTTTACATATCTTGGCAGCATCATCGACAACCAAGGTGGATCCGATGAAGATGCGAGATCGCGGATCGGAAAACAAGGGCTGCATTTCTACAATGGAAGAATATCTGGAACTGCATCTATTATCAATCAACACCAAAATCAGGTTTTTCAATACAAATGTCAAGATAGTTTTACTGCATGGAAGAAGCCCAAGAAACACATTACGCCGAGAAATAGAGTAAGACATGAGAAGAATGAACAAAAACTGAAAAGAACTGGAAATGGAAGACCAGAACAGAGTTGGCTGGAGTAACGTGGTGGGCGGCTTATGCTCCGTTGAGGGTAACAGGCGTAAGTAAGTAAGTAAGCAGGTGAAAAGTCAAAAGATATTTTAAGCAGCGAAAAATTCTAATTTTGTGGAACGTAAGGGAATTATTTCGGTGTTAGATTATTGAAAATGTGAACGATGAAAAACCGACAGCAGGGAATGGTCTTTAGTAATAAAAACTAGGGGAATTTTAGTCAGGATGCCTCTCAATAATCTTAGAATGCAATGTCAAGAAGATAAAGCATATCTGGAACTGGTTATTTTAAGAAGAACCTCATAAAAACTACTACTTGCCCGGGAAAAGGGTACTGTAAAATATGGAGCGTCCTAGAAATCAGAAACTACCAGCTGTTAAGGAAAATATTCATTGCTCATTTACCACACAAAGCAGACGAGGATTCAGGAAGGATCTACAGTAGAATCAGGGAATCAGTGAAAAGCAACTTCTCTACTCGATTCACTACTCAACACCAAGTTCTAGTCCTGTCAAAAACAAAGGCAGGTCAATTCCAATCTGATGTTCTTTCCAGTTGCATATTCGAATTTATGTGCATCTGTGGTGGGAAAGCATCTGATAGCGTGGACAGGATGAAGGCTTCTTCGACACCAATGCGTACCTAAGAATATAGTCGACATCATACGGAATCCTATGGATGGACTAAACTGCAAAACCGTGAATGGAGGATAACTCACAAACTCCTTCCAAGTAAAGCCCGATGTGAGGCAACATTGCTCACTTTAACCGTTTCTCTTTCTTTTCTTCGTGGTCGACTGGATTATAAAGACGTCAACATCTGAGGGAAATGAAGTATTACAACGGACACCCACAATAACAAATGCACAGGAAGATGACTAGTGTAGATGAGCCTCTGAAGTTGTAAGCCTAAATATATACAAAAGAAAAAGTAAGATCTTCCGATACAACATATGATGCACCAACCAAATCACACTTGTTGACGAAGCTGTATCAGATGTAGAAACATTTACATACTTAGGCAGCATCACTGATGTGCAAGGTGGATCTGATACAGATGTGAAGGTGGGGATTTACAAAGCAACAGCAGTATTTCTACAACTGAACAACATCTGAAAATCAAAAGAACTGTTTGTCAGCTAACACCAAAGTAAGCATTTTCAATACAAATACAGTTCTATTGCTTGAATCGGAAACTTGGACAACTACAATAGCCATCATCCACAAGATGCAGGTGTTTATTGACAGTTGGTTACTCAAGACACTTCGGATGCATGAGCCAGACACCATCAGCGACAACCTACTATGAGAGAGAAGAAACCATATTTCATCTGTTGAATAGGTCACACATTGTGCAAGTCGCCTAACTGCATCACGATACAAGCCGTCACTTGGAATTCTCAAGTCCGAATGAATACACTGTGCCGAGTATTGGAAGAGGACGTGAAAAGAATGAATAGTCGTTGGGTAGGACTGGGAAGGAACGTTTATAAGAGTGTAGGTGAAGAATGCTGGTCGGCGACCTATGCTCCATTGGAGGTAACAGGCATAAGTAAGTAATTAAACAATTTATTGGAAAGTAGAGAGGAGCGTTTCTACTACATTTTCTGAACATATTTTTAAAAATTTGTCGAAAATGGAGTAGAATCTTCACGAGCACAACTACCAGGTACCTTTTGGATAATGGACATGAATCGAACATAAGTTATAGATTTTAATTGATTGACAGACAACCGATATCAATCTTACTTATCTTTGTAGAGATAACCTCTATCATACATATACAAAAGGCAAGCGTGATTAACCTTTATTGGTCAAGGT